CTGCTGATGATGATTATTATTACTACTGCTATCAGGATGATGATGATGATGATGAAGATGATGATGAGGAGGATAAAGTTGTTGTTGTTGCTGTTGTTGATTTACCTGATAACGTTGTGCCTTGCTGCGAAGTTGATGTAGGTACTGTTGTTGAAGATGTTGTTGTTGATGTTGTTGGTGGTGATAGTAGTAGTTTCGTTTCAGAAACGTAGCCAATTGGTTGCGCTTAAACCTTTTCCGTCTCCTTAAAAAACTTCCGTTGTCAAACATATCCTCAGATGCAGGATCCAAAGACCAATAATTACCTTTATATTATTATTATTATTATTATTATTATTACTACTACTACTACTACTACTACTACTACTACTACTACTACTACTACTACTACTACTACTACTACTACTACTACTAGATACGAATATATACAAGAGCTTCGATTCTGCTTATTATAATATTATTATAACGTCACCGGGCGGTAAAAATCCAAAAATAACTTCTTCGGGGATACCCGTTGTTATAATGTTATGACGTCACGGAAGGCGGGGTTTAAATCTAAAAATAACCTTTTCCGGGATTCCCGGTTTCCCGCGGAACTTTCACGAAGCAATCGTTCAGGCTGAGATTGTGTCTGATGCTGTTTTGCCAGGCGGGGAACCTTTCCCGATAATAGGGGAACCTGATGATGGTGACGACGACGACGACGACGATGATGATGAGAATGATGATGATGAGGATGATGATGATGGTGATGAGGATGATGATGATGGTGATGAGGATGATGATGATGGTGATGAGGATGATGATGATGGTGATGAGGATGATGATGATGGTGATGAGGATGATGATGATGGTGATGAGGATGATGATGATGGTGATGAGGAGGAGGAGGATGATGGCTTTCCATGGTAATTAATATGATGATGGTGATAACAATTTAAGGTTTTTTTTCAAATAAATGATCTACTAACTTATTCATGATAAACTCGCATATGGAACTGAGAGACAACTTCTTCTCAGGTGCTTGCAAAATCGCCATTGTTATTAAAGCAATGTAAGAATAAGGCGGCTTGACCAGTTGTTTTTTATGGGTCGCTGTGACCTCTTTATTCTGAGCGTTCTCATTGGCTGGCGTGCTGGCCTCCCGATCGCTGATTGGCTCGTTTGAATTCGAATTTGAGCGGTGAGGATCGTGATTTTTCGGCAAGTCGTTTCCTGATTGGTTCGTTGTTTCCTCCAAATTGATGTCGCTACCGGCTGGTGATTGGTTTGATTGATCTAGCTTGATCGATGATTGGCTGGAATGATGTAGGTCGATTGGTGATTGATTGGAGGTGTTTATATCGAGTGATGATTGGTGGGATATATTAGGATCGCTTGATTTGATTGGCTGGAAGAATTTTGAATGGTGTAAGTTGAGGTTTAACGATCGGAAAAAATTATTCTTGTGGAAAGAAATCTTATCACAATCATCATCATCATCGTCGTCGTCGTCGTTAATGTTGCTTTTGATGACGTCACCGCTGGTGTTGATGTTGTTGTAAAAATATTTATTAAAAAATTTGTTGTTAAAAGAATTATTTTTGTTGTTGTTGTTGCTGTTGCTGTTGTTGTTGTTGATGTTCATCCAGCTGGCGTTGTATTGTCTGCTGG